ATGTTATTTAAAGATGAATAATATAAAATATTTGAGATGTGAGATGAGACCATCGTATCTTATTGCAAAGCCATTAAAAAGTGGTAGTTGAGTGAGTGAAATGTGTATATGAAGTGAAGAAATAAAAGTATCTTACTTTCCCTTTTCAGTGAAACTACCTTTTTCTAGATGTGTGGCATGTAAAGAAATAAGAAAATGCATCCCATTATGAGAGGGAAACGTCAATCAATAGAGATGCACCCAGAAAGGATACAAATGATAAATAGACAGGGATGTTAAAACAGGGTCACTCTTCTCACAAATTTTTTCTTTTGAAAATAGATTCCATAAAAATATATATGTTAAATATACTGGGTTTATTGTTATTTTAAATGAAATGAAAAATATTTAAAAATGTATTAGTTTTAATTTCTGTTGGTAAATATTTATACACATAACTCATGTAAACAAAAACAATACTCATATAAACAAAAGCTCTTTGGGGTCCTCTATAGATTTTAAGAGTGTAAGTGGTCTTGAACCAAAATATGTGAGAACTGTCATAAGAAATCATTTCCATCTAGTTCTAATGTTGTATCTATTTTTTATTAAATCAGACTTTTGATGTTTTTATTCTGAAAAAGTGACAAAATTTACTAATTTTCTTGTTTTTAAGTAAATAAAGAAATTATAGACTGTTAGTATTTAAAAGGAAGCTTTTCTATTGTTTAGTCCAGAGAATTTTACAACTGAGAGATAGTTATGAGTTTCACACATTTGATTTAAATATTCCTTTTTTTCCAAATCAAGTTTTATCTTGTAGAGAAATATGATTTAAAAAATACTCCAATGTGTTTTACACAGTGAAAATCAATTAGAGTGTCTAATTGTACTGTTAACTCATTATTATTTTTTGTAATCCTGCTTTTGCCCTACATATATTTCCTCTTATTATAAATATCAGATATTAGGAAGGTGATGTTTCTGTTTGGTCTTTTTTTTTTAAACTAGATATTGTAAAAGTGTTCATCAGGCCAATCTTGTTTCTTTCCTGTATACTTTACATCTTCAGTCCCCTCCTTCACCAGCCACCTTGTGGGATTATTTAAAAGTAAATACCAGACTTCATAGATTTAATCACTGACTGTTTCAGTATGAATCTCTGCAAGATATCATTGCTCTCTATCTCTTAGGGTGTGTGCACACACTCTCACATAATAACATCTTTATTATATTTGCTTTTTAAGGTAATTATTTAATATCATCTAATATCCCATTAGTGTTCAGATTTCTCCAGTTGTCCCATATATCTTTTTACAGTTAGTTTGTTCAAATCAGTATCCTAATGATGTCCGATTCACTCTTAAGAGAGTCGTCATTGTGTTTATTTGTTATGGCTCTTAATGTATAACAGTTTTCCTGCTCTCTCTTTTTCTTCTTGCCATTGGGGAAATATGTACATCTATTTGGTGAATATACTTACTATAGCGTGATAGTTAACTGAACGCTTCCAAGTGAATTTGATAATGTCTTTTGTGACTTGACTTTTATGTTTATCACTTGTGATGGGAAAAGTTGTTAGATACTGTTGCAGTTTTGAAACACTACTTTTTCACTTTTTCAACCTTCTGGGTTGGTTTGAACAGTATGATGAGATTGGAAAGTTGACTTCAAAAAAAAAAATCAATAGACTATTATTTACAAATATTTATCTTTGTGCATCAGCATTTTCTCAATATTATAGACCAAAATAACATCAGTAACCATTTTGAATGCTAGACTTATATAAAAGTATTGCCGTCATTGGATCTTCCAATTTTAAATTTGTATGGTATTCAGGATATTCTCACTCGTTAAGTTTTTAATAAGTATGTACAGGCAGCCCTCATTTGGCAGAGGGCCATGTTACAGAAATCTGTGTGTATTGGCACTGTTTCTTTGCTTGGTTCCAATATGCATAAATTTCAATAACATGGCTCAGTGCAAAGCAAAGACTGCCTGTGTTATAAAATCAATTTATGAAGTAGTTTAGTACTACCAACTTAGAAGAAAATCAGTTGACCACAAAGTAAAGGTTTCTTTGTAGACTCTCAAGTCTACAATACCATGCTACCCCTTTATTACTGTAGCTTTGTAGTAAATTTTGAAATTGGTAAATTTAAGTCCTCCTGTTTCGTTCTACTTTTTCAAGATTGTTTTGGTTGTTCTGAGTCCTTTGCATTTCCACATGAATTTTAGGATCAAGTTATCAATTTCTTTAGAAAGATTAGCTGGGATTTTTGATAAGGATTGTGTGAAATCCATAGATCAATTCAGGAAATATTGCCATTTTAAAATATTAAGTCTTCTGATTCATGAAAATAAA